AACTGTAAATTTATTAATACTAATACACAAATCTGAAAGATTATTAACATCACTACAAATGCTGTAGTACAGTGTATTTCTCATGCATTTCTCATGTGTATTGTATATAAAGTTGACATGTTATAACTAATAGCCTTTGGGCTGCTATGTGTTGTATGGTTAAATAGGATACTGTCTTAGGTGCGGGAAGTTTTTTCAAGGTATGGTGAAATCAATGTCATTTCTGTGATTTATAGGCAAAAGTTCATCATTTAGAACCCCAGGCTAATTGATTTAAAATTTATCATATACCTAATGTATATATATATATATATATATATATATATATATATATATATATATATATATATATATATATATATATATATATATATATATATATATATATATATATATATATATATATATATATATATATATATATATATATATATATATATATATATATATATATATATATATATATATATATATATATATATATATATATTCATATATATATATATATACATATATATATATATATATATATATATATATATATATATATATATATATATATATATATATATATATATATATATATATATATATATTTCGTCATTATTAATATAAATTTGCACAACATTTTACCGTGAAATATATGACTGGAGCAAGTAGAAGACAATAGTCTTATCAACTTGCCCCATTTTTGTCGTTGAAAAAATATAATAAATACAAATATAATAAAATATTTATAATGGATGTGATTTTTTTTTTTTTTTTTTTTTTTTTTTAAATGAACTTCATTAAATAACCAAGCAAGTAATATAATAGAATTTCAAGAAAAAGTGAAGAAAAAAAAATTGAAACTGAAAATCGAAAAATTTTAAAAATAAGAGATTGTGTCATTAATGTTGAGGTCTAGTAGCTGTTGCTTTACATATGTTTATACTTATACCAAATAAGGATGTTTTACAATGATTGGAGTCTGGGAACAAAAAAGCACTAAAATTTTAGATATACCTGCCCCAAACGTGAGAGCAACAAGTTGATAAAATTTTTCTACTATTCTCAACCAAGTTTATATTCATCGATAAATTTTAAAACTCGCACAATCTCTTAGCGTCCAACAACTATGGCCTTATATAATTTACAATCCCTTTAAATTGAGAGGGGTTCAAACTTTTTATGGTCACAGTTTTTGAACGCTAATAGATAATATTTTGAAAAGCATCCTTATTTGATATAAGTATAAACATATAAATTTTTGAAGTTGCCCTATGTTTGGAAGTTAGCTACCTCAAATATCAAAAAATGCTGCATCCGCGCCTGAAGATCTAAACAAAAGTAATTTTAATGTAGTGTAACCTCTTGTTAGAATACTGAGCATTACACACCTAATTGGCTAGGTCTTCTCTAAATGTCAGCAAAATATCTTTATTACTTTCATAATTAGTTTTTTTACTATTGGTGGTAAGTTCTTAAATCTTTTCTGCTGCATTAATGGATTTGAGTCCTATTATTATGGATTTCAGTCCTATTAAGTCCTTTAATTAAGTTCTATTGACTGTTTATTTAGGCAACTAGAATTTTTAACTTCTACATTTACAACATAATTACAATGGGTATTTACTAAATGTGCTAATTTAAAAATCTTTTCTTCACCGCTTCTACAAGGATTGCTGAGTCATCTGCGCTTTCCTTCTACTTTTGGAACTTTTTAAACTTCTTAAAACTACATTATTACTACTTAATTAACATGTTCATATTAATATTTTGTTTATACTACATGTTCATATTAATATGTTATTTAGTTATATATTGTAAGTAAAGGTCAATGAGACCTATATTTACAATTGATGAGCAGGTGGTACTGATTGATTTTTTGCACAATTACCAAAAATAATGTTATTTATAATCGTTATTTTAAATACAGAAGTCCTTTTTTAAATAAGTACTAAAATCTAAACCGTATAAAAACTAAAAAATAACACTAGAATAGTTAGAGTGTACTTAAATAAGAATAGGTGATGTGGCATATTCAGGACTGTCCCGAAGAGGTCTTCCATAGGGTTTGTATGTGTTTTTTTGCCAACTCGAATCAAAAAAAAAAAAAAAAAGAAGGTCCTCAATATTTGCGATTTGCCAACTTTAGTTTAAAACTTAATCAATATGCCAACTCCAATGCTTAAATGACACCTTTGGAGAGGAAGGGGGGACACTCCCTTCGGGACGGCCCTGGGCATAATAATTGTTATTTCTTGTAAGACGTTTTCCGGCAAAGTAGTATAAATGTAAGCAACTTGTATTTCACATCATAGCATGACAAATTCTTGATATCATAATATGAGTTGATAAATCAAAACTTATTTTGATAAAAAAAGAGAAAAACTTAACTTTTACTGTACTTCATAACTAATATATGAAATTCTGCTATAAATTAAGTTTATTTCCCAAAGTTATGATATCATTATGATATCATAATGATATAATTATTTAATCTCATAGCTTGAGAAGGTTTAATATCATTCTGATATCACATTGATATCGCGTCTTGACTGGGGGCAGACTGATTTTTTTAAAAAGTTGCTTAGCTTTAAAACCTTAAATTTTTCGTGTTTTTCTTTTAATGTAACGCAATAAAAATACTCAGTTTAAAATTTGATTAATTCGCTAAAAATTGCCGGTCATTAATATAGTTAGGTGTTTGAGTCATGTAGAATTCCTTAGATCTAGATGTTAAACAATCAGAAGTGACAACTGCCAACTTGTTTTTCGATAAATAAAAATGGCAATATCATGAAGCAATAGCTTCATAAGTGACATTCACTTTAAAGTCTTAATTTCTCAAAAGTTAGATTAATTGTTTAGAACCAGTTTCTAAACTCATATGATTCCTATTGAAACAATAAGCAGGGTTTTCGGTCTTTTTTCACCTAATGGAAAGGAACTAATATTTTGGACACGGACTGGATTATTTTGATCCAGCAGTAATGTTTGACAAACAGTTTGGATAAAAAAGTAAAAATTAAACTTCTCTTTTAAAAACAAAACACACAAATAAATTGATAGACTTACTGAAAAGCTTCTTCAAGCCCAGTGTCTCCAAATGTTTAAAATATGTTAAAATGAGAGTATTGCTTAAAAAAATTAAATTATATGGTTGTTTAATCTAGAGGTATTTGGATATCATTCGATGTACAAATACCTACGGATTTAAAAATTTCAACAACTAAACCTGACTTCTCTCTTAGCAGCGTCTAAAGTTTTTAAATTCCTTCTTAACATGCTTCTTCATATGATGTAACCTATGTTACTGTTTTTCACTTTGTTTACCTCTAGTTTGTTTATAAATAATGAGTTTCTGAAAATGGACGAGATTTGACTCAATCTCTCTGTCAACTGAAAACTATACGAATCTAACTAACAGTTATGGCAAGCTCCAACTTATGGTTTACGATTTATGGTTATAAAATTATGATTTTGTCTTGGTTACTTCAAGTAAATAGTTGTAATGTATTTTAATGTCTCTATAATACTGGTTTATAGTTAGTGTTAATGCTTTATTGGTTTTTAAAAATAGTTAAATATAAAAGAATTAATAAAAAAAAAGGTCAATAATAAATAAAATTATTGTCAATAATGCATGCTCTAAAGCCGTTAGCTATTCGTAGAAAATACGAGCTAAAAGTTTATACAAACTGCCCAAATAATTAAAGAAAAAATGTTGAAATAAGGGGCTGTTTTTATTCTATGTTTTACATTGTTATCAATGATAATATCATGTTTATTAACTTGTTTATAATTTTTAAACTTGTTATGGGATCTAGCAACTTGTTTACAAACATATTTTTAAGTTATGAAATCTTGCAATTTTAAAGTTGATTGTTATTTTTTGAGAAAGATAAGAGCTTTTTTGATTAATTCATAATTTTGTTAATGTTGATCAAATTAAATTTAGTTTTGAATTGTTTTATTTTATCTCAATTTGATTTTCGGTAAATAATTTCTAGAAAGGGTGAAATTAAGAATCACCATTGGTTTAGGTTTGCTCTAGTTATCTGAATTTTTGGAAGTAGTTTGTCGTTAATAAAAACGACATTTGTCGTTAATAAAAACGACATTTGTCGTTAATAAAAACGTACTTGCTTTTTCAAAACGCTCAAAATGCTTTTAGTAATTATAGTAATAAAAATTTTGACAAAAATTCCACAATTTTCAAAATAAATTGTTTTGTTACACTTTTTCAAACGGGTAAACTCGCTTTATTATTATTAAACCTAATAATAACAAAAAAAATTGAGACATCTCCAGGACTTCTTAGGTTTAATTTCAAGTTTGTATGCACCGCGTTCAATGGTAAAACGGTTTAAAAATAATTATTTATCAGAAATTAGAATTGTTGTTTAGTATTTTTAACCCAGAAAAGAACAATTAGTTGCTTGATTCTTGCTTTACTATAAACACAATAGCAGCAAAGAATATAGCAAAAAACTCCCTTATTGTCAGGCAGCGCTTTTGATACGGCCATTAGGCCTTCGAATACCATAGAAAATACCAAATAAAAAAAGTAAACTTGATTTCTTTACTATTTTTATTGTTGTTTTGCAAATTTTTTCGTAATATTTGTGATGCTATTTATACAAGTTTTTAACTGTGATTTTTATTAGACACCTGCTGTAACTAAGTTTACGAAGTAAATAAATTGACAAAACTTTTTTGTAGGTTTTGTCCTAATTTAATATCAATATCAATTATTTAAAAAAAAAGGTTATATTATTCTAAATATTAATACTAATTATTGATAATATAATCTTAATGTAAATAAAGCAATTAGCCAATTTATTCCAGAACAATTGTCATTTTTATATATTAGAGTTTTTGAAAAATAAAAAAAGCAGAACTCCATTAAAAACAAATAAAGATTGTAGAGTTAAATACTCAAGAAGTTTTGAGCAAATCTATTCTTTTAAAAAACACTGATTTAATTATGAAACCCAAAAAGTCTTTTACTTCGTAAAATTAGGAAATAATAAAAGTCATAATAACTACTTATTAATTCTATTATTCATTAAAATGTTATCAAAATGGTTTCTTATTTTTATTTAAGAAATATATGAAGTTTCAATGTTAACTTTACTGTTGATCTCCTACTTTTTCATAAACTTTTCCTTGCAAGCAGTAGTAGTATTTTAACTTTATGCATTTTTCACCGCAAATTTCATATTCTTTCTTTGGTCTAGCAACGCCATCACAGCAAATTTCTTTGTGCCAGTTTATGCAATCTTTTAAACCACATCTTCCATAGTAAAGGTATGGTTTTGGAATTCCGTTGCAACAAATTTCTTTTTTCATGTTTCGACAACTCTCTCCACATTGCATTTCGCCATATTTGCCTAGTTTGAATATCCACAAATAATATTTTCAAAAGAATAAATAGAAAAACTTTGTAAGAAGTTTGCTTGATATGAACTTTGAAACAAATACAATATTTATAATATTTATAAAAAATATAACAATTAAAATTTATGAAATTAAAAAAATTCTTACAAATAGCGTATGACTTGTCTTCAAAAATATCTGAACTATCGACATCACTTTCGAAACTTGCTGACACCATGAATAGTAACAATACCAACACTTGTGATTTCATTTTCATTAAAACTTTACACGTTGACTCACAAGAATTTTGAATTAACTCGTCGACATATAAAGTAAAACTCAGTTGTCTCTTTTATACTCTTTACTTTCGCCATTATTAGTTTCATTGGGTAATTAACTTATTTTACTTTGGTTATTACCATCTTCTGAAACGACTTTTTTATGACTTGAACCACAAAATTTGTTTTTAAATGCGTGTACAAATATTTAATAGTAATAACCTAAATTCAATATTTATTAATTAGATAAAATAATTAGATCAAAGATTAATTTAAATGAATAACATATAAACCAATTATTATAAATTTTATTTAATCTTTTAATTTTATAGAGAATTTAACCCACTAACTATTTTTTAAAAAAAGTTTAAAAATAGTTAGTGGGTTGCAGTGGTTAACTGCAAACTGCGAACCGGTAAAATGCAAATATTTTTGCGAACCAAGACATTATATTTTAATAACTTATTTTATTTAAAAACAAATTTTTTTTTAATTATTTTTCTTCCTTCTATTTTAATGGAATATTCTTAAGAGTGAAAAAAGAATAAAATACAAATTATACAAATAATTTATCAAAAGGTTAACAATTTATACAAACCTTTTTTTTCGTACTCTTTTTGTAATAAAGTAAAAATAAAGAAAGTTTAATATAATAAGTTTACTTTTTCTCGTTTAAAATAAAATACCTCGGTTAAAGTTATGCATAATATATGATATCCTTCCGGTGTAACTTTTTTAGAATAAAATACCTCGGTTAAAGTTATTCATAATATATGATGTCCTTACGGTGCAACTTTTTAAAAATAAAATACCTCGGTTAAAGTTATTCATAATATATGATGTCCTTCTGGTGTAACTGTTTTAGGAGTATAGTTTTTGTTTCGCGTGTTTATTTTCTGTTACTTTAGTTAGACTAGTTAGTAGTGTTTAAACTTTTATAACAAAAGGAGGCAGGAATCTTATAATAAGTCATTTTGCCGCGGTCACTGACCAGATGACAAATTAAAGAAATTTTATTTTTATTTTAATTTTTTCTCATGCAAACTGAAAGTTCACAACGGTAATGAATCATTATGATAACATAAACGTACTGACTAAGATTATTGCTTCATGACCGGGGGCGCACAGAGAGTGGGGGATCTGGATCGGTTTCCCCTGGCCATCACGTTTATGGGGCATCATCAGAGGGCTTGAACTTGAGTTTGAATTTATGTGTTTCACAAATCAGTATATTACATTTATATAACTTGAAGTAAAAGCAGGGCCATCCCGAAGGTGGGGTGGGGGTGTCGGGGTGTCCCCCCCCAGCTGTCATTTAAGCATTTGAGTTGGCACATTGAGCAAGTTTTGAACTATAGGCAAATGCCAATTTTTTTTTTTTTTTGGTGTTACTAGTTGGCAAAAAAAACATACACCCCTTCCCCCCATAGAAGACCTCTTCGGGACGGCCCTGAGTGAAAGTGCAACACCAGGTACTTCCATACTGAATGAAAAGACACTTGTGTGTCCGATCATTCATCTATATTGAATTTTAATTTGTAAAACACCACCTTGGAACGAGTTGGCTGATTCAGCATTTATGGCGTCTAAAGGTAGCGTATTCCATACATTGGCAATGCGATTAGCAAAGAAATTAAATCTTTTTTTTTTTTACAGCTTTTAAACTCTTTTAACAACATATCGTGAATACCAGCGAAGCAGAAAAAAAAAAGAGCTTTGTAATTGGGGACTTTAATATGAATTATTTTCTTTATAACGATGAGTATAAAGTTAAAAAATTTTATGACACAATTTTTGAAACAGGGTCTATACCCTTAATTAATCGCTCTACTAGGGTAACAATAAACTCGGCTACCCTAATAGATAATATCATTACAACAGATATTTTTAATAAAGATATTCAAAAAGGTATTTTAAAAACTGATATATCCGATCATTTTCCTATATTCTTTATTATAAACTCAAATTTAGAAAAAAATATTAACACCCCTACAGTTGTAAGAAAACGTATCTTTAAACAAAAAAACTTTGAGCTATTTAAAGATTAACTATCTTTGCTCCATTGGAATCATATTGATTTTAATGACAATGCAAATAACATCTACGAAGCATTCTACGAAACATTGTTTTCCGTTTACGACGCTAATTTTCCAATTGTTGAAAAAATAATAAAAATTAACAAAAGCTCAAAAAGTCCCTGGATTACGAAGGGATTAAAAAAATCGTCAAAAATTAAACAGAAGTTGTATATTAAATATTTAAAAACAAAAACATCTGCTAGCGAAAAAATATACAAAAACTACAAATATCTATTTGAAAAAATACGTAAAAACTTAAAAAGAAATTACTACTCAGAACTAATTAATAAATTTAAAAACGATTTGAAACGCACATGGCAAATTATGAAAGAAATTACTGGAAAACAAAAATCGTGCTTAGGTTATCTGCCGCAGATGATTAAAGTTGATAACATAAGTTTATATGACCCAAGAGCCATATCCCATGAATTTAATAAATTTTTTATTCGGATAGGTCCTTCCTTATCAAATAGGATTTCAAATACGATGGCTTCTTTTAATGATTTTCTCGTACCTATGAATAATTGCATTTGCTCTGATGAGTTATCTTCAGAGTTATCTTTTGAGGAATTTGAAGTAGCTTTGAATTCTGTGAAAAGGAACAAAGCAACAGGAGGAGATGAAATTAATGGAAACGTAATTATAGATTGTTTTGATATATTAAAACATATTCTTTTTAAAATTTTTAGAGCTTCTTTAAATCAAGGAATTTTTCCAAAACAACTAAAAGTTGCTAAAGTTACTCCTATCTTTAAAGAAGGTGACAGATCAAATGTTGGCAACTATCGACCCATTTCTGTTCTTTCGGTATTTTCAAAAATTTTAGAAAGAATAATGTCTAATAGAATATACAAACATCTCAACAAAAATAACTTACTGTACAACAAACAATTTGGTTTTAAAAAAGATAACTCAACAGAGCATGCAATAATCCAGTTTGTGCATGAAATCTCAAAATCTTTTGAAAAATCACAGTACTTGTTAGGTATCTTCATTGACCTATCAAAAGCTTTCGACACGGTAGATTATCACATTCTGCTTCAAAAACTTGAATATTATGGAATTAATGGTATTGCCTTAAAATGGTTTAGAAGCTATTTAACAAAAAAGAAAACAATTTGTAATTAGTAACGACGGCTATCAAAATAATTGTCTTGATATCGTCTGCGGTGTTCCTCAGGGTTCAATCCTCGGGCCCCTACTTTTCTTGATATATATAAATGATCTGAATAAAGCTTCTAACCTTATAAGCATTATGTACGCAGATGATACCAATGTTTTCCTCTCAAACAGTAATATATACGAACTCTTTACTACTATGAATAAAGAATTAAAACTTATATCAAACTGGTTTAAATGTAATAAGCTAACTTTAAATATTATTAAAACCAAATGGACTCTATTCCATTCGCATGCAAAAAAGCGATTTTTACCAATAAATTTGCCGCAACTTTTTATTGACGAAATTGAAATAAAAAATGATTCCGTAACAAAATTCTTAGGTGTTTATCTCGATGAAAACATCTCCTGGAATTAACATATTAATTATATATCTACTAAAATTTCAAAAAACATTGGGATTCTATATAAAGCTCGTAACTACCTAAATAAAAATTGCTTAAAACAACTTTATTACTCTTTTATTCACAGTTACATAAATTATGCCAACACTGCTTGGGGGAGAACTGTAAAAAGTAAGTTAAAACTTCTTTATCGTCGTCAAAAGCATGCGATCCGCATAATTAACTATGCCGATCGTTTTACACACACAAAACCTCTTTTTACTGAAATGAGATTGTTAAATTTATTTGAACTCAATGTATTTAAAGTTTTATGTTTTGTATATCTATGGAGAAATAATCAATCCCCTACCGTTTTTAATAATACTTTCAAACTCAAACCTAACAACAAATACGACATGAGAAACATAAACTTTTTAAAAGAACCATTTTGTCACACAAAATTTAATCAATTTTGCATTGCTTATCGTGGACCCCACCTATGGAATAATATAGTTTTGCAGAATTTTGATTTACCAACTTCCTTTTACCTTTTCAAACTCAATCTAAAAAAATGTATTATTTCACTTGATAATATACTCAGATACTTCTAATATTTTGAAAATTGTTATACAACTTGAATTCAGTACTTTCTTTATTTTAATTTTTGCTTTATTTTTTAGTATCTTATACTGGTATTTATTTTGCTTGTTTGTGCTTTATAAGGTTCTGATGACAAGATCTTGTGATCTTCTTCCAGATCCTAGCTTATGTTTCATTGTAAGCAGTTTATGTATGTGCGCATCTACGCATTTGTATGTGTATATATGCTTATATTTATATATGTATGTCCGTGTTTTTTCTTATTTTAATTTAGTTGATAAATGTTGTAACACGAATTTAATTGTAACACGATATATATGGCGTATATAATTGTACTTTGACATTTTAATGTAAGCAAAATTTAAAAAAAAAAAAAAAAAAACCTTTTGACGTTTAAGTCAATGATACTTCTGTATCCAAATGATCTTAGCAAAGACAAGTTTATTGATGAGTTTCATCAATTTTTGTCTATTCGACGCCATCTATTGACAAATGTTCGGTCCTTAGATTTTCTAAATAGCATTTTTTAAAAATGGTTTAAAGAAAATTTTCCCCAGAAATGCATCAGTCTTCGTATCTTTTTTTACTTTGCCAATATCTGTGACTGAAAACGAGATATCTTTTAGAAAGTTAGCTCTCGTCAAGAATTCTCTTATAGCTACCATGGGACAGGATCTTCTTAACGACTGTCTTATTCTTCAATCAAAACAGATCTTGCGAAGAAAGTTAAGATATTGTAACTTCCAACTTTGTTGCTAAAAAAGCTCGTTAAGTCTTGGTAAAATGTAAGAAAAATTTGATACTAAATCTAGAAATGCGTTTTTCCTTTGTTGTGTTTAAGTGTGTGATTCGTGAACTGTCTTAAATACTAAAATTTTAAAATATTCTATAAATACTAGAAATAATAGCTTTATATTTTTTATTATTTTTATTTTGGTGGTTTGGTGGTTAAGGGCATCTATTAAATTTTTTTAAAGTTAACTCTCTGTGTCTCTGTTCATGAAGTCTATGTGCGCCTCTGTTTATATCTGAAAATTTTACAATAACTCAGAGCTTTCAAAATATATACTATCATGCCCCGTCTTCCAAAATAATAAAATAGCAGCTATACATAAACAATTAATTTCAAAAATAAAATTTTATTTTTATTTCCCTGTCTATTCTTTTTAACATTGGATTAAAATTTTCTGAAGCTACTATATTTGAATGACACGCATTTAATAAAACAAATATGTATTTTTGAAGGTTTAATGCTACTATAACTGTTTTAAAGATTAATGACTATCTAATATTTCAAAAATACTGAAAAACAAAGCAAAAGAAACAACAACAACAGCAAAAATAATGCTTTTTACGGATACATTTATTGTAAAAATATATTTATTTTTTATAAAAAACGCACCAATTATTTTAAATTGAAATTCAAGGTTACTCTATAAAAAAGTTATTTATTTTTCGATAAATTTTATATGTTAAAAAAAAAAATAGATTAAGTATAAATTGAATATGTTGTATAAATTCTAAAAAAAATTTAAAATTTTGTACTAATTGTTTATATTATGGTAAACTATATGCGTAATATATATTTTTTTAAATAAAAAAAAAAAACAAAAAAACAAAAAAACGTTTTTTGTTTTCAATTCTGGAGTAGCCCACTAATTAATTTTGATCTTAGAAAATTGCCTATAAAATAAATAATAATAAAAATAAGATAAATAGGTCATTTACTTTATTATAATTGGTTGATAATATTGGTTTAAATTAAGTTTTGACCAATCCGTTTTAACTAATTAATGAATATTGACTTTAGATTACTATTAATAAATATTTGTATACGCATTAAAAACGAATTTCGTGGTTTAAATCTTGAAAAAGTAGTTTTAAAAGATCATTTTATATTAACCAAATTAATACAAATTAATTACCCAGTGTAACCATGACAGTGTAACCATGACGAAATTATGACGAAAGTAAAGAGCATAAAAAGAGGCAACTAAATTTTACTTTATATCTTGTGTAACGAATTTAAAATTCTTATTTGTGTCAACATTTAAAATTTTTGATAAAAATGAAATCACTAGCATTGATGTCGTTAATATTCATGGTGTCAGCAAGCTTTGATAGTGACATTGATAGTTCAGATATTTTTGAAGACAAGTCACACGCAATATGTAAGATTTTTATATTTGACTTAATGAATTTTAATTTTAACATTTTATATAAATATTATACTTTGTAACCTAAATATATATTAAATGTCTTTGAATTTTTTCTTTACACTTTGTCTGAAAATTTTATTTACGGATATTAAAATTAGGCAAATATGGCGAAACGCAATGTGGAGAGAGCTGTCGAAACATGAAAATAGAAATTTGTTGCAACGGAATCCCAAAACCATATCTTTATTATGGAAGATGTGGTTTAAAAGGTTGCATAAACTGGCAAAAAGAAATTTGTTGTGATGGCGTTGCTAGACCGAAGAAAGAATACGAAATTTGCGGTGAAAAATGCATAAAGTTAAAATACTATTACTGCTTGCAAGGAAAAGTTTATGAAAAAGTAGAAGATCAACAGTAACGATGGCCACGACACTTTATTTATTTCTTAAATAAAAATAGGAAACCATATTGATAATTTTTGATTATTTAATAAAATTTGTAACTATCCATGGCTTGATTTGTTTTCTAATTTTACGAAATAAAAACTTTAAGAATTCTTTAAGAATGTAAAGTTAACTTTACATTGATTACGTAATGAAACAATATTTATTTTGCTTTTCTGCAGTTCTGCTTTTTATTTTTTATTTTTTAAAGTAATGCTTATCAAAATGTCAACTGTTATTGAAAAACTTTTGAGTCATTTTCTTTAGATTTATATTATCAGACAAAACTTACTATTTTGTAATGGTGACGAAACGTCAGTTTCTACTTATCCGTTTTTTTACAGGAACGTGATAGAGAAGGGAAAATTAATCAAGTTAGTATGAGTAGTTACTCATGCTAACGTGATTAATTTTCCCTTCTTTATTGCGTTTCCGTAAAAAAAACTATAGTTTTCCTTCATACAAATTAAAACTTATACTACGCATCCTCACGTAATTGTTTTTTCTTTACCTTTCCCGTTCCCAAAAAAACCCGGATGAGTAATCGAAGTAACTCACCTTAAGTATGTCACATAACCTTGCAAATACGTAATATTTAGAACAACAACAACAACAAAAGTAGTGAAGCCTTTTTTTGTCATTTATTTGTATTTCTTAAGGCACTCTTAAGCCTCAACCTGGTCATGTCAAAAGCACTCTTGGATAGCTATCATGTCAAAAATCACTATCGGATAGTAATTATAGAGGAAGTTTTTTACTGTACTCTTTGCTGATACTTTTTAAAGAGTAAATTAAGGATCACAAAACAAACAATTTTTTCCGCACCCTATCTACTAAGCAACGATTGTTTTAAATTTTTATTTTACCATTTTTTCCATTAGTAAACTCGGTGCATAAAAACGCGAATCTTAATGCATCTCATATCTTTTAGTTTGATTTTAATAAAACGAGCTTACTTTTTTAATTGAAAGAAACATTATCAACAAATCTATAATTTAATCAAAGTTTCTTCTCCTCTTGTAAATTCTAGCTGTAAGTTGTATTACCGTATTTTAACTTTTAATGAAGCAAATTTATTTGCAGTTTTTTAAATAGATAACACGACTGATGACAATAATTGAATTAAAATTTTAAATCATTAAAAAATTACCATGATAAATTAAATAAGCTATGTGCTTATTCCAGTTTAGATTTTATTAGAAGAAAACGGGGCACGATGACAAACGTTTTAAAAATTGCAAAACTCATATCAGCCATGAAGCAACAAGTTTTGTCAGTATGTTTGTTTAACATAAAAGTTCATTACCGGCACGAATTTTTAGTTTGCAAGTAGAAATATTTATAATAAAAAATAACAATATTAAAAAAAAAACCAACTGGTGTTTAAAAATACAAGATATAAACGTTGTTTCGTTTGCATCTATTTTTAATTTTTACAAAATTTTATATATAAAGCCATCTTGCCCAATTCGTCATTTTTCTCCGATTTCTTCTATTATACCAAAAAATTTAGTAACCTAATCTCGATTTGTTTATAAACGATTATCTCCATTTATTTATAAACAATTTCCAATACTTATAATCATGCTAAAACTTGAAATTGGATTGAAAAATTAAACCCCAGAATTTTACAAGACATTCAGTGGTTGTTTTATATTTTGAAATTAAAAAATAATCAAATCTTACTTTAGTATACTGCAGTAGAGTAACTTGTGTATAAAATAATTTATTTTGTGTTGTGAAAATATGCTCGCAAACTTTATGCTCGCAAAAAGTATTAAAAATTCGGATATTTTACTAAGAAAATCAACTATAGACGGTTTAATGTGCTTAGTGATTCGTGGAAGATTTAACAACTAGGTGGAAGATTTAACAACGAGGCTTGAATGCTCTATAGTTTGAAATAAAAAAATATGTGCTCTATTTTGACAACTTTTATAGAAAGACTAACACGCAACTTCATAAACAAAGTAAATAAAAAAAAAAAAGAAAAGTATTTTCCAAATCAGGTAAAACAACTTTTTTTTGTAAACATCAATGTTTTCTTGTAAATATCAATTTTTTTGTTAAAAGATTTTGTTTCTTGTAAAGTTTTTTTCAAAAAAACAAATTGTTTTTTGCAAGATTCAGTAATTTGTTTTAAAAATCTTCTGTTAATTGACGGATAATTTATTGTAAAAATTATAAATTTAATCAAGTAAGTCATTTGATAAGTTTATATATTATTATTTTAGTTTTGTTTTAGGTGTCCTAAGAAAACCTAATGATCTTGTTGCAGACAAATGACCACGGAAGATCATTTAACTAGGAAGTTCACGCTTTCTTTCTTACCAACTGCGCAAAGTATGCCCAAAGCTCGTGGATTTCTTAGTTCTAAATCAAGCGCTCAAACTACTGCACCATGGTTGCTTAAAAATAATTTTAACATTAATTTATAACTTCAAAAAATAGTTTGAATAACTCTCTCTTTAACTTTCTTTCCCATATTCTACACCTTGGATGCCTGTCTTTGGCAAATCTTATTGTAAACGACCTCTTCTAAGCTTCTAGAAAACAAATAGCGGTTGTCTTTGAATATTAAAGTTAATGAAATTGTAATGATGTAGTCTTCTGGTAGGTTTGGAAAAATTACACTTTTTATATTTAAGGGTATTAATATAATATATGTTGTGGTTGCGAATTGTATATATATTATGGTTAATAATTGTAAATAATATTTGCAGTCACAATATAATAAAACAACAGTAAATAAACAAGAGAAACCATTACTGTCTTAGGGAAACCTATAATAATTCCCCACGCTAAAAAGTGGCGACCCAAACCAGGATATAAAAGGAACCTGCGAATAAGCAAAAATGAAACCAGAGAAAACTTACGAGAGAAAGATCAACATGATAAAAATAAACATTAAATGCATAGAACGAAACGCAATGAATAATTAAAAGTTGACAATAATCATGACACTTAAAAAGTTAACAAACATATCCTACAATCAAGCCTTAATCTAGCTCAAGCGGTTATTAAAGAATATGTAGAGTCAACAAAAATGAAAATGTTTAGTTTAAAAAGACGCTCAATCATCTACATTAAACGATAGCATGGAAGTGGGATCATTACTGCAGCCACTAATATTTGACACTCACATCGATATTCGATGAACAAACTCTGCATATTAGCTGACATACAGAAACCATTTCTCCAAATTCGAACTCACAAAACAGATCGAGACGCACAGCAATTAATTTGGTATAAGGACTTAAGTAAAATAGAATTATTGGAGTTACGGTTTACAAGATTAATTTTTGGCTCCAGTTAAAGTCCATATAATCTCGGTACTACTATTAAGAACATATATCAAAATACAAGAATATCTATCCAAAAACAATGTTGGCGTTGGAAGAAGATACTTATGTTAATGATCTACAAGCAGGTGGAGAGACAGCAGAAGAGTTTATCCGGTTTAAAAATGTATCAACGTAAATCTTAACGGAAGCATGGTTTCAGCTGCATAAATAGTAGAGTAACGTGAACATATTGGAAAATAACGGTGAGTGCAAATCAAAAAATCAAAGAAAATGAAGAAACAGATCAACTATACATTGAATTTACTGCTTGTATCAATAACGGAAATAAAGAAGTTATAACAAAAAGAAAAGTGCTGTCCACCATCAATAGTGTTTTTGATGTGTTGGGATTTTGTGCATATGAATTAATCATTGGACAAATATTGTACACTCGACTATGCTTATTGAAAATTGGATGGGATAAAAAATATCAAACGAACTTTTGAAAGGATGGCAAAATTTACAGGCAAATAGCAACAAAAGAACTATTTCAATTGCACAGAACGTTGCATTTGGAAGAACTATTGAGGTGAAGCTTCATGGATATTCTGATGTAAGTATATTAGCCATGTATGCATGCATCTACTCTGTTAAAAGCTACCAAAATATCAGTTTTCTAAGACTGCAGTTGTTAGCAGCACATACCTTTAGCAAGTTGATAAAACATTTTAGAAATACATCAAAAAAGTATAACATTTTCAAAAAATATAATTGTGTAGACAGTAATGTTATTTATTAGTTAAAAAAAATGACAGTTAGTCACAAATTGTTAGGAGTCGTGTTCAAAATATCTTTTAAGATGGCGAAGTGGCATGGTTCTACGTCCCAACTAAAGAACACCTGAGTGATCTCGGAACAAGAGAGGTGGGTTGATTTTGTTACAAGAGGGAGAAGCTGTCAACCTTATGGTTGAAACACAAGTCAAAGTGGCCAGACCTATTGGGATTAGGTGAAATGTCGTATGCATTATGTGAACGTATATGCGTAAAGGAAAGCATCTGTATTGAAACAGAAGAAATAAAAGAACATGCATTTAAAGGACTGTGGAGCAAACATATATTTTGGAAGGCTTTAAGAGTGTCATCTTTTATAAAGAGTTCCATTCACAATTGTCGTAAAAAAGAAAACATAGTTGGACCAATAATGGCTGAAGAGATTATAGAAGCGAAACTGGCAAATATTAAATTACTACAATAAGCTGGCGCATTAAAATCCAATGTGGAACTCAAGCAGGATAAACAACAACTTCAGAAATATCACGGAAGATTCTCCGGGTATAATCCAATATTTATAATCCGATATAAAAGAACTCTAGCTAACTCAACAAACATTTGAGCATCATCAAACTTTACACATAGGAGTAGGAGATACCAAAGTTAGCATAATAAACAAATTTGAGAGTTGCCGTAAAAAGGTCATTCGTGAATATAATTTTTGCAAAAGTTACAGGGTGAAACCATTGTTACCACCAGCAAGAGTTACCACGCTTTAGAACTGACGATATTGCTGAGGGGCCCAGCGAGTTTAGGGGCCAATTAGCAAATTTAAGGGTTCTTTTGCAATTGTAAGGAGCTTGTTTTTTGCTTATTTAGTAATGCTATAAAAATTTTTAAGAATTTTTTGGCCCCTTATGACAAGTTTTATTTTTGGGGGAGGGAGACCTCTGATCTAATAGCCACGGCACTAATTGCCTGGTCGCTAACTTTCACGGACTTTTTTTTATAACGGTTCCGTAAACGCGTACCTACTATAGTAGGTACGCGTAGGTACTTAATATATCATTGGCTAGTACTAACCAATGATACATTAAGAAAAAATTAAGATTATTATTTTTTAATAAATCATTGCTACTAGCAACTAAAATCAAAACCTCGTGTAATTAGGCGTTAACAATTGATTAATGTAGTTAAGGTACCAAAGATTTTACTGTTGAATGTAAATATTTAAGCAATCTTATAAATTTATTTAAAAAGCAGTATACCTATCAATATTTTATATGTTATATAATTTAATATTGTATAATTGAAGTATTTTTTGGAATCCTAATTTTAGTTTTAATTTCCAGACCTGCAAAATCACAAGTTCTTGAGTGTCATTTTTAAGTTGTTGTTGTTCTTGTCTTGTATAAAATAGCAATTTAATGCTAATGTTTCCTTCTTATTATTATTTGAAAATTACACCTATTTATTCACTTATCATGGCACTATATCCTTAATAAGTTTACGCTTAATCTGTCCACTTATTTTTGATAAATTTTATCACACTTGATTTGAATTTTAATAAAAGTTTTATTTCTTATATTTTTTGGTTCTTCAGGTAATGAATTATATAGCTTGAGTTCATTACAGAAAATTGATTTCTGCTCACTTATATTGTTTTGCGCTCCCATATGAAAATTGTTTACGTTTCCAGTATTGTATTTATGTATGTCACTGTTCTTTCTGAACATGTTCACATATATTTTATTATTTTAATTATTTACTACCTCATGAACTAAATTCAAAACCCTAAATACGATTTTCTGCTTGAATGATAACCATTTAATTTTTTCCATCATTTCATTACTATATGAATACCAATCACATTTTAGAATAAGTCTCATAGGTTTATACAGCAACTTCTGAAGTATTTTAATATCACCTTCATTTGCATTTAAAAAGATTGAAGCACAATATTCATAATGAGAAGCCACAATTGTGTTATAAACTACTTTTTTAGTCCACAGGGTTAGATAAATACCTATTGATAGGTAACCCAGCTTTTTAGCAGTATATTTGATATGTTCAGTAAAATTTAAATTTTCATTAACTTGAATGCCTAAATATTTGACAAATTGATTTTTATACAATTAATCGTTTGATTCAAAAAAATTGAATACTTGTTTATGAACCTATATTTCAATAATTTGTTCATACACAGGCAACATATAAATATGTCTAAAATCTTGCGGTTGTTTTGGAAAGTTTGTTTTAGGGATTAGTATTATTGTGAACTTTTTCCATGATTTTGGTACAATACCAGTCTTCAATGAAAAATTAATAACTTCACTGCTACACTTGGATAAACATTTTAAAACATTTTTACACTCATATTTTCACACATTGAATTTTTTTATCTTCATATCTTTAACTATATGATCAAGATCATTTCTGTTCATTGGTTTGAAATAATTAAGAGCATTTATGTTAGCATTTATATAAGTATTTTTTTTAACATTATAATTTAACTCAGATTTAATAGACTTAATATCTTAGACTATTTAATATCTTGAATACTTTTGGTTAAAAATTTATTATATTTATTATTTAGTGTCTTTACCGATTTCTTCAAATATAATATCTTCACATACAAATTTTTTATTTTTTTGAGATAAGTCAGTTAGATTTAGGGTTTTCCAGTGCGGTCCTGGAGTTATTTTAACTATTGTAAGATAAGATGAGATAAAATAACTATATATTTTTGTGTTAAAAAGATGTAACAATAAAACACAGGTCATTGCAAATAGAGATTTACTTATAAAGCGCAACGACCTAAGATAAAGGAAAAAAAAACAGCAAATAAATAAATCAAAAATAATAATATGAAATAAGTTAACTACAAACTAAAAGTAAATAACTGCGTAAAAAAGGTAAGTAAGATTGTTAAACAATAGAAACAATAGAATATTCTTCAAGGAAATAGAAGAGCTACAACTACTAGCATGATGTTTTGTTTATTTTTACTTATTAAGCGGAAAACATAAGTTTGAGCAAAAAAAAACATTTTTTTTAAGAAAATTTATGAATTTAAACATTTTGTAAAAGATCTAGCTCTTTTTATCTATATACATTTCAAATCGTTTTTTAATTTTATTCAAAACATTTTTAAGCAAATGAATTGATAGAAATCCTAAAAATGTTTAAAAAAAGGCATTAAGAATTTAAGACATGAATATCTTATATTCTGTTCTAAGCAATAAAAAAAAAAACTTAATTTTTTTTTTAAAGCACAAGCAGAAATAGTGCTAAGTAGTACTAAACAAAATTTTTTTTCATTTATTTCATTTTATTTAAAACCTAAGCTATAGGTTGTCAAAGGTAAAGTTTTTATAAAAATTTTCGATTTAAGTTTTACTAGTTTGCCTTAACTACGTTGAGTGAGTATAAATAATTGTTACTTTTTAAAATTTTTCACATAAATGCTTTTTAGAGTTTAAATGTTAAAGAGCTCTAAACCGATACTTTTTTTTTTTACAGAAAAATTTTATGCTGAAAGTAAACCTAGCGACACTTTTTGTAACCATGTAATTCCAAAAAATTGTATAATTAATTATGGGAACAGCAAAGTAAATATTTATATAGCTTGCCATTGATTTTAATACTAGTCTATAATGCATAAATTTAAATAATAAATAATAGAGTTTAAAGCTTGCTAAAAAATACCTTAAAAAATAAAATATTCAGGTTAATTTCTCAATGTTTATGAAAGATGGTTAATTCTGAAATGAAGCTATTAGTGTTATATGGATAAAATATGGATATTTATTACTTAATGGTGTGCATTTTTAGTAGGGGCTACTCAATTACCTGTAACAGTTTTGAGATTTGAATATTTTTTTGTTATAAAGTTATATTTGACAGATTACAGTTTTTTTTTCCAAAAAAAGATCTAAATATATTAGAAATAATAATATCTTATTAAGCTTTATTAAAAGTAGTTTTTTATTTTTTAATTTTACATTTTTTTTTCCTATATAGATGTACCAGTCTAACTAATAATTTGAGAAAATGTTTAATATTAATGCTGTTTTAGTTTTTGTACTTGGGTCTCTATTAATTATTAATGTTGTTCTTGTGGTTCGCGATAAAGAAAACTGGAATGAAATGCTCAGACTTAAATCAGGTAAATTAATTTATGCGTAATAATTAAATTATGCATAAGATTTAGTGAATACTCATTTGACTAATTATTTAAATAATTTTGGTCAATATTTCAAACTAATTTCTATGCATTAGGGTCATTCTCCTCAAAAGTAACATTTTTAATAAATATTTTTATAAAATTTAAATATTAGAATTTCGAAACCAAATTTTTTGCTGTTATAGCTTTGAGTATATTTATTTATTTGTAAATATCCGCAAACCTTGTTAAAAGTCAGTTTACAAAAAAAAATTAAAAACTTTTACCGTAATCCACAGACGTGACAAATTTACCACAGACGTTACATTATGAATAGTATCGCTTTACGCTGTAACAGCTATAAGTCTGTCAGGTAATTTACAAAAATAATCAACAGTTTAATCAACAGTTTTTAATAGTTGACATAAAATAATACATGGTACAAGTTTTTACAAAATTTTAAGTATTACTAGTTAGTAAATTAGCAAATATTTTTGAATGGTAAGTATTGTGGAAAATGATATTTCCCCCTGTTATTAAGGTTCGGCTGGCACAATCTTAACACAACATCACTCTTATCAATGACAGAGATGTCATCTTTCTCTGGAAATGTAAAAAATTCCTGGCCAGATCTTCTCGAAAGCTTTATGACAAACTTATCTACACCTAAGGCTTGAATTAGCCCAACATAGTATTTCACTTTTTTTTTTTGATGTTTGAAACTTGACAATTACAAAATCATTGATTTTAATAGACAAGCCGTCCTCCTCATTATCACTGTAAACACTGTGGTTACTTATTTTTGTCAATTTCTTTTCACATTTACCTGGTCCTTGAGATTCTTGAGCCAAACATTTGGATGTTGTTTCTTCAGCTGGCATTTTTTTCATTTTTAAGAATTGTTGACCTGCTAAACCATGTTAAGGATTTTCTTAAAACAGAGACACAAAAAATTATTAATGAAACAGAAACAATTTAAATAACTATTTTACAATATTTTGTAAAATATTGTAAAATAGTTATTTAACTTGATTTCATGCACAGCTTATTTTAATCATACTAGAGTAACTGAAAAACTAAATATTAATCAAACATTTTTACTGACTAAATAACTAAAGAACATTTAAGAAATGCAAAAGTTTGCAATATTCAATATAAGGAAATATAAAATTCAATATTATGTTCAATATAACACAATATTCAATATAAGCAAACTTGAGTTTGACTTGTAAAGTCCCCTTGAAAGTTGTTAGATTTTCCGGTACACATTCTCATAGAGATTGAAATCTATGTTGTTAATGGTATAGATGGTTATACTTGGACACTTTTCTTTTATTTCTTCAACCAAATAATTAATATCAGGAATATCTTTCTCTTACCCAATCAATCTGTCTGCAGTTTTTTTGATACAACCTCCTATTCCAATAGGGGCACCTTTTCCCTGCCCTTTTTCTGTGAAATGCCACCTTATAGTTTTAGTTCCAAACTCTTTTTGTAAAAAAGTACCAACTTAATAGAATATGGACTTGTTTTGGTACTGTTGAGAATCACTAAGGAAATAAACTGTATCAATGACAGGCAGCTTTTCTTTTAAGTCTTCTTTTAACAGGCTTTAAATGTGCATAGATTCCAACAAAGTTATGACACCTGTTATCTGAAATTGTACAGTAAGATTTTGCCTTTATTTTGTTTTCAGAAATACTACAATAGTATGCCATAACTGTATGGATTGACACTTGATTTCTTGATCCGCCAAAGTGGAGTGATTGGATTTCTTTTGAGTATTTGCAATTGTAATTTTCTGAAAAGTCACAATGAATGAAAATATCCCTAGGCCCAAAGTTATTTTTTATTTCTGATGTAGCTTTGTACTGGTGTTTTATATTGCATACATGCTTCATAAACTTTTCCAGTAAGTTGTTATCAAAAGAAAAAACAGCTCTTTTTTAGTTAATGTTAACTATTTTATTTTTTATCTTAAGTTCAACACTTTTTTTAGACCATTGTGGAAATGTTACTTTTTCATTCATATCATTCTCAAATTCTTTGCAAACTATTTTTTTGTTTAAAATGCATACTCTACATTTCCTTTTTCAGGCATGATTCTCTCAGCTCGCCGTCACATGTTATACTTTTTAGCAAGTCAGTAGGATATTTACATGCCAACATCTTAAGACTATATAAGAAAAATTCTTATGTCAATACATAGACAAGTATCTTGTTTACGAAAGTCTGGTTGAACAACCCAAAAGGGTCTCAATTTGCAAAGTGTGCTATAAGACGTTGACTTTAACACAGTTGTTTGTTTCAACTCATTCCACAAATTCAACATTGTATCTTTTTATAGTCTTTTTTATTTTTTTACTTTGTTTTGTTATTGTTTCTTTTTCCCCAGCAGTAAGCCTACTGGAACTATCTTTTTTAAAAAAGTTTCTAACTTCCATTTCAAGTTTTTGTTTTTTCAGTGCATTTGAGGGCTGATTCAAGTTGTATGGTTAGATATATCTTGAAGTAAGATTGTTGAGGCTTCTTTGAAGTCTGTACTTCTTTATTATCTTTCCGCTTAATACCCTGGCAAAATCCTTTTTTTTGGCAATACAACTCTCAGTAGAAAAATTTGATTGTATTTGTGTCTTTAACACTTCGCTAAAAAGCAAGCTTTTCTTTACTTCCTTCGAGCATTTCGTGCCACTGGTCTTTTTTTTAACCACCTTTTTAGGAATATCGTCTTTTGCATATTGCAGTCTGTAGAATTTTTGTTTGTATTTATCACCTCTTTGCTTTAAAAATTGTTTTTTTCTTCTAATTTTTGGATTTTTTTCTTCAACCAATCTCTATATTTTTTACGAACTTTTAGCCTGTTTTTTTTATCTGGAACTAGATTCTTGACTGGGACCAGGAAGTAAATTTATGCCTATTTTATTTTCGATAGGAATATATACAGTTGGGCTTCAGATGGTGTAGACAAACTCTCAATAAGTTGCTGTCTCTTCTTTTTCCTTTTCCGACTTTTCTTGGTCCTTTCTTTACAACCTTTTCTTACTGATCTTTTATCCCTTTCTGAAATTTCATGAATTTTCTTTTGTGTTACTTTTTTTCTTTCTCTATCTTTTCATTTTTGTTCTTCATATTTGTCCGTGTTTTCAGCTTTCATCTTCTCCCTCGCTTTCCCCATCCATCTTTCCCATTTTTGTTAACTGTAAATAAAAAAAAATTATAACTATCTAGATAGAAACATTTATCTTTTCAGTAATAATTAATTAAATATATGAGCAAAGTTTTTAAATGTTAAAAATGTTAAAAATAGGCATTAAAAAATTCAGGCACAGGTAAAATTGTCATTTGTTGTCTCATTCATTCCATGTGTGTCACGTCTGCTGATTTCTGTACTCCACAGACGTGACATCCACAGACGTGACAAATTGAAGGAAAAACCCTAAAAGGAGTGCTATGTTTTGAGGCTAGGAGTACCTAGGCATATTTACTCCCCTTGGAGTAAATATGCCTAGGTAATTGCTATTAAACAAAAGTGTTGCTTAAAAAAAAAAAATTATTTACCCTGAGTATGTTTACCACATATGTGACACACGAAGACTAACAAATTCATTTTTTAAAACTTTAACACTTATAAGCACTAAACAATTACACCAAAAATTCCCCCACTATTACTCATTAATAAAAATGTCTGATAGTTTAGCTAGAACAGCAACATAGAGAACTACTGCTGCCTCCTACAGCTTTTTTTTGGAATTAATAACTCTATCCACAGACGTGACATTTAAGGTGGTGACAAGAGCTTCAATTACATAAAAGTTACTTTAAAAATATGTTTTGAGGAAAATATAATGTCAACTATAATTTTAATGTATTCTTAATTATTTATTATATATTAAAATAAAAGTAAAGTTCTAGCAACAAGGTTTAAACTTCTTGGGATTAGCAAAAAGTCTGGGTGGTGACATTCCACGGATGTGACTTGTCACAGTCTGTGGAACATTATTTATTCACTGAAAATGCTATTTTGGATTGGTTTTCATCAGTTTAACATTGTATTAGCTGTATATTTATTATTTGCACTGGTTTAAAGTATAAATAGTATTAGCTTGAAAAAAAATTAGTAGGGACAGTATATTGCTACTTTTTTGGAGAATGATCCATTAACTAAAACCTAATCAATGAATTTTTATTCATTGCTTATAGCTAGCAATTAGAGAAAACTTTATTTTCATTTGTACTCAAAATACTGAAATCTTTCTATGCAGGCAGCACAAATATGTTACATTTATTTCATTTTAGTTTTTAAACTTACTTTTAAATAGTTAATTTTGTATTATTTTACTTAAAACTTGTATTTGAAAAAATGCAAGTTTCAAGTAAAATAACACAAAATATGTATTAGAATCTTTAATAAGTAAATCACTAATAAGAGTTTAATTGAGCAGTAAGTGCATGTACAATTGAGCAGGGTTGGCAAAAACCCAAGTTTTTTAAAAAAAACCTAGCCCAGTGGGTTTTTTTGGTTAATTTTTTTTTTTTTTGGGTATTTTTGGGTTTTTTTATTTTTTATTTTTGTTAAATTTTTTTTTTTTGTTTGTTTAATAATATTGAAAACTAATATCATTTTTAACTTTAAGTTTATTTAAAATATATTTTATGTTTTTAAAATTTATAACAACACCTCAAATTATTTTCAATAAGTTTTTTTTTTAATTTAAAAAATGATTTAAAAATGTAACAAAATAAAAAAATTCATGATAAACCTATATGTATTGATTTATTTTAGATTTAATAATAATATTTTTTATAATTAAAAATGCCCGTGGGATGTGGGAGAAAGAAAGCTGGGGAATGGGATGAAGTAACTGAAGTTGAAACAGTACAAAGGTTTCTTGTGACTATTGTCATGCTTTGATTAGCTACAGAATAGAACGAGTAAAACCCTTTTTTAAAACATTGCCAAAAAAAGTTTAAGTTTTTACACAAGCATAGAGAATCTCAATTTGTCAAAATGTTTAAATAAAAATTGTGATAATGTACCAAATATTGATTTAAATATTAGTGCATCTGCTCTAATAGCTGTACCATCATCTCAATTTGGAAAAAGTTATTTGGCATCTGTAAGTTCTATAAGTTTGTTAACACCTTGTAAGAAGCAGCGGTTGATGTCATTGTACACAATATCAACTAATATGGAACAAAAAGAAAATATTGATATTAAAATAGCAAAATTTTTCTTCAGTGCAAATGTATCATTTAAAACTTCTGAAATTCAAGAATTTATAGACATGATCAATTCATTGAGACCAGGATATAATCCACCTAACCATAAAATGCTTGGAGAAGAGCTCTTAGAAAAAGTTTATGAGGAAGTAAACAAAAAAATGATGGATCAACTTACCCAAAAAGAGAAAACAATAACAATTATGCAAGACAGATGGAGTAGTGTTACTAATCATCCCATTATTGTTTATAGTGCATATGACGGACTTAATTCTAAAATTTTATGTATTACTGATTGTGCATCAAATAAAAAAACAGCCAAGTATTGTACTGAACTCCTTTGTAATGTCATTAAAGATCTTTAAGAAACATACAACAAAGAAGTATTCGCTGTGGTAACAGATAATGAAAATAAGATGAAAAAAAATGAGGGATTCAATCAAAAAAACGTATCCAAATTTTTTAACATATGGGTGTTCTGCACATTATTTAAACCTTTTAGAAAAAGAAGTAACACACCCAGATGTCATCAAACATGTAGTTGAAGTGCAGAAATATTTTAGCAACACACATCGACCTCATGTAAACATTATTTTGTATTTGTGGGTTAAACTTAAAGTATAAAAAATATATATAAAGTTTAAAATTAACTATTCAGTTTTTATTTAAAGGGATGGTTGCGTGAGAAAGGAGGGCATATGCCTCAGTTACTAAACAAAACACGGTGGAACTCCCAAATTAACTGTATAGAAACATTCATAAAAAACATACCAAATTTATGTAGAAATAGTAGATAATTATGACATACCTATCAAAATCAGAAAAATTATTGAAAATCAAGCAATATTTAGAGAAGCTAACAGTCTTCAAACCCAACTCAAAATATTTGGTGTTGTTTTAAATCAAGTATTTAAATCAAGTATTTTTTATATTAAATTTTTTTACATAATAAGATTTTGTAGGTGTAAAGGAAAAGTAATAAAAATAAATATATTATGTTAATTAAATAAATTAAAAATTAAATTTTTTCTAGATGCAAAGTGACAGCTGTCACTTATCCGAATGTGTTGACAGGGTTTCCACACCTCCTTAAAAACCTTAAATATCCTTAAAAAATAAAAACCTCCTTAAATGTCCTTAAATAACCTTAAAAAAATATAAAATTTGACTGCTCTCCTTAATTTCTCTCTATTTTTTTTTTTTATTTATCTAGAAAAATGAATGGATTATACTTGTTAATAAAGAAGATAATATATAGATTTTTGTTAGTTTTCAAACCTATTTTTGTTATATATATATTAAAATTTATGAATATATTTATATAAAGTAATAATAATTTCTCAGTTTATATTTAAAATTTATTGAAAAAAATAAGATTATGTTTTTAATGTTATCGTTTTCTCCTTAATTATCCTTACTTTTTTTTTCAATAAAATGTCATTCGCAACCTAATCTCCTTAAATATTAGAAAAATATCTCCTTAAATCTCCTTAAAATCCTTAATTTTAGCCTTAGTTTTAATAGTGGGAACCCTGGTTGAATTGTGGCTCTCACTTCTGAACAACCCTGAACTAAGCAGGGTTGGCACAAACGCAGTTTTTTAAAAAAAAACCTGGCCCAGTGGGTTTTTTTTGGGTTTTTTTGGGTTTAATCTTTATTTTGTCCCTGTAAAAAATTTGTGTGTTTTTGTTTAACGATATTGAAAATTAGTTTCATTTTCTAATTTAACTTTATTTAAAATATATTTTATATATTGTTATTTCATTATTTATAACAAGAATTTTTCAAATTATTATGAAAAAGATTTTTAAATATAATTTAAAACTGTAATAGAAAAAAAAATTTAACCAGGATTGTAACCACAACAAGGTAGCCTCCTCGACTGTTGTGTTGGCTTCTCTGGTCACTACTACTTATTTAAATTCAACTTGGGAGGTGAGTAACATAAAGTTATAAAAATCTCAATTGATAAAAATATTTAAATAAAAATTGTAATTATGTGTTTCCAAATAATGATTCAAATAATAGTAAACCTGCTCTGATAGCTGTTATTGTTGGTTATAATAGTTAATAATGATAGTTAATAATAATTTAGTTAATAATAATCGTTAATAGTTATTTTAGTTAATAATATTATAGTTATAATGTTAAAGTTGGTTATAATAGTTCATAAACTTATTAAATATCTTTAAAAAAACCCAATAAAACCCAGATTTTTCAGGGTTTTATTGGGTTTTTTTAGGCAGGTTTTCTTGGGTTTTATTGGGAGTGTTTTTTTGGCGGGTTTTTTAATGTCAACCCTGGAACATTACCACAGTCATTACCACACAGTTATCAAAAAGTTATGTAATGATGCTATGACACCTATTCATTATCTTGCATACATGACCAATCCTCGCTTTTTGGGTAAAAATAAGTTTTGCTTTAAAAGAAAAAAAATTGTTTTCACACCTATATGCTAATCTGAATTTTTTTTTTTATAGGCAAGAACCTGCCAATTGAAAACTAAGATGAGGCTGAAGAATGGCTTTTCAATCATTATCCTGATTTTGTACCTGGGTTGATTTTGCTTAAATTAAAAGATTGTGATGCATTTCCTAAAAGGATGTTGAGCAATCAAATTATATCAACAATATTGTGCAGTTATTGGTGGTCTATCATTAACCAGAGAAATGAAAAATCAATTCAGAAAAAATTGCCTGAAGGATTTTACAAATTTATTTCTAAACTTCAAACGTGCCTTGTTAGCTCAGGATCAATAGAAAGAAAGTTTTCTTTGTTTGGTTTTATTTGGTCAAAAGTTAGAAATAAATTGGAATGTGAAAAGGCTAAAAAGCTTCTGCAAATATATAGACAGTATCAAAAATAGAGAGTTGCAAGAAGCATACCAAAAATGTAATTAGTCTTGTCAATGTGTATTTATTCTAAAAAATCTTATTGAATGAATCTAATTTGTTTCATTTTCAAAATAAAATTGTGTTAAATAAAAATTTTGTGTTTAAAATGAAAATTTTCTAAATGCTTATGTTTTCAGAAATGTTGGTTAATAATAGTGTATATTAATATTATAATAGTTTATAAGATTATAGATGTATTTCAAAAAAACCCAGATTTCCTGGGTTTTATTGGGTTTTTTTAGGCGGGTTTTATTGGGTTTTATTGGGCGGGTTTTTTAATGCCAACCCTGCAATTCAGCAATTCAGCAATGCCAACCCTGCAATTCAACAACTGAGCAAGTCAGGGTGAATGCAAGTAAATAAAAGTAAAGCTGCAAATAACCCTTATATATTATTACTAAATGATAAACATATTTTTTTTAATTACTTTTAGCGCTATCTGTCATTCAAAATGAACTTAACTCTCATCGCATTAATAGATTTAGAAGAGATACATCTGCTGATGAAGACTTAATTGGATTAATTATGAGAAATGAATTCAATCGTTTGGTATTAAATAAAATTATTGTTTTGTTACCAGAAGCTCTTAAGTCAATCCCACCTGAATTTTTATGCCAATGCAATAGTAAGTTGTATACATATAATAAACAATATAATGTACAATACATAAGATAATAAATTTTTTAAAAGATTTTATTGAACTGCTTGCAAAATTTTAGTTGCTGGTTGGAAAGTATAAATGTTTCATAGTTTTTTTTAAATTTAATAATTTTTTAATTTAAGTCTTTCATGATTTTTTGTTTGTTAAAACTTCCACATAATTCTTTATATTGAATTAATAAAATAAATTTATTTGATAATTTTTCAAGCAGTGTTGCATAATTTTATTTTAATTTTAAATGACGGCTCTTATTGCTAATATCAAATTACGTTAAACCACTTGCAATAAATGTTTTTTCTAATATATATTAATATATACTGTATTTTTAGTTAAACTCTTGCTTTTTAAATTAAAAAATTAAGAGATTTTACAAGTAATTATCAAGCAGGCAGGTATAATGTTTTTACGATTGACAATCAGCTTATCACGGTTAGCACGGATCCTTATAATGCCTACCTAGCTGTCTTAAGAACGCCACATATACGGAAAGTTAGCATACACATCAAGGTACCCTGTGATGCAAATTTTGAAATCATTTAGTTTTGTCTGCGGAAAATAGTTTAATTTGAATGTTCAAATTAAGTCAAATTTTGACTTCATTAAATTATTTTATCGGTACGTGTACAGTTTTCATTTTATAGACCAAAATAGTAATTTGCAACTTAAAGCGTTATTAGAATTAGCTTATGCCAATGGCGTTGACACAACCTTCAAAGTGGAGGGGGTCAACCCCTCAATATCTAAAATAAAATCCATAATTTCTAAAACAATTGCTTATATTTCTAAAGCAAAAAGTCCTCACAAAAAAAAGTGGACAGGTCATGGCTCCCTTGATGGCCATGCATGCATAGCGTAAATATACCAACTTTTCCTAAGGTATAAACTACTGCCAGAATGCAAAAAAATTTTAAAAAAATGGTTAAGAAGGATTTCTAGGGATACCTACATAGAAAATAAAAATATTTATTTATCTGAAAACAGAACAACGATGAAAAAACCAAATATTTTTTATATTGACAAAGATAATTGAAAAATTTAGATAAGTTAACTAAGATATCTGACCAATACAGAGTTTGGAGAAAAATTACTCTAACTGAATAACTAATTAGGTTAAAGGGTTGTTTTGAAATAAAACAACCTGTGTGACAAGTATTATTAGTTTAATAAGTGGGACAATTATCAATAGTGTAATTTCCTTACAAGTAAATAGTTTAAACAATTGTTTCCTGGTAAGGAAAAAACTATACAAGAATTATTTCCTTGTAATTTAATATTACCTCAATTAAATCAAGTAAATATTTCCTTTATTTTAATATTTTTTAATTAAGAATATGTGTTACTATGTTAAGTGGATTGTTATCAAATATAAATTTAGGTCATATTTTGTAAAAGGCAGAGTTTGATTTAGTGAAGTCAAATTTAGTGAATTGCCACGATGCCAAATCATGATGAAAATCGAAAGTTTGTGTGCTTGCTATGTCTAAAAAAATGTTTAAGACAGCTTACTACTTTTCAAGCAGATCGAATATGCCAACTGTACAAGACCATAATCAATATCAGTGATACTCGGGCACCAAAAGGATTCTGCGAATCGTGTAGAATTACTTTGCGCAGGAAACAAGAGGGTAAAGAAGTTGCACTCCCTCCTTTGTTTGATTTTAAGTCAATACAAGTGAGACCTGAAACAAGAGGCATGATGTGTTGTTGCCTAATATGTCGAATTGGTTGTTCAAAGCTGCAGGAAAGACATCCTTTTATAGAGCAAACCGCTATTGAGAAAAAACCAAAGGGGCATTGCAGCAAATGCCTCAGCCCTTTAGGAAAAGGTTTGCCCCACTCTCAAATAATGTTAAGGGAATACATTCAATCTTTAGCAGCAAAAGATGCCAAATCATCCAAACAAATCGTATCTTAAGTTATTTCCAATAAAGAATTATCTCTGAAAGGAACTATTCTACTGGCTAAAGCATCCAGCGGGCCTCCACTTACATTTACCCCTGGTAAATATTTATACTTAAATAATTTTAACATATATATACTGAAATGAAGTCTTGACTATTAAGAAATAACACTAGAAGTATGTTTTTGACAATATATAAGAATAGCAATAATAAATAATAAATATATAAGAATAACATTAGAAGTATATTTTTGACAAGTTTCTAATTTCTTTAAAGACGAATAATTTGAAAGTTTTACACAAACTTACTAAACAAAGTTTATTGTAACTATAAAATATGTATTTTTTGGTTTGAAGTCAAAGTAGTGCACAGACACCATCAAGTGCTCTGAAATAAGGCACTGTAGCCCTTGTTAATGTGCAATTAAATATGGGCCTGTCAAACAACGGATTAAAGAAACTTGTTAGAGCTATAAACAAAACATCAAGCAGCAAGATGGTAGAGCGAAATTTCTACATAATTTTTTTAGGACTGGTCAACAATTGAGCGATATCTTCATCTGCAGCGACTTAAAAATCACAGACAAAACAGATTCTTGTACAGTTCATGTTGTTGCTCACTGCAATGATTTATCAAGTCTTGTGAATCATGTTATTCAGTCCTGCAAAATTTCTGGTGGCTATATTCTTAAGCTCGGAATTGATGGTGGCAAAGGTTTTCTCAAGTTTTGCCTATGCATTGTTGATACTGCGTTAAGAGATGAAACCAGCTCACCGCACCAACAACAACCTTTCACTCGAAGGACTGGTAAAGACACCGGAGTCAAGAGACAAATTATTGTTGGGGTTTCAAAAGATTTGCCAGAAACACACTCCAATATTGAACAAATCTGGTCACTGATTAATGCAAATGGAGTTAAACTAATTTTGGTTTGTGATATGAAAGTTGTAAATATAATTTGTGGTCTTCAAACTCATTCAAGTACGCACCCTTGCACCTGTTGTGATGTCAAATCCAATTGCTTTGCCAAATCTGGAAGCTTGCGAATACTGGGGTCATTTAGTTCAAGCCTTGAGTCTTTTCAGCAATCTGGAAGGGTTGTTGCTAATGCAAAGCTGTTTGGCAATGTCATTCGAAAGCCAATCATCTGCAGGTCTGTCAATGTTCTGATTTTGGAAATCATTCCACCGATGGAATTGCATCTCCTCTTAGGAGTTGTCAACCATTTTTTCAAGATCCTTAAAATTGCTTGGATAGAAGCTGTTATGTGGCCAGCTGCCCTCCACATTCCACTGATCTCGTATCACGGGGGCCAGTTTGAGGGAAATGAATGGAGGAAGCTTCTTAAAAATGTGGATATGCTGCAACAACTTGCTGTGACAAACATGGTTCCCAATATTGTGTGCATAGTTGAAGCATTCAAAAGTTTTAATTTAGTTGTTAAGGCTTGCTTTGGATACATCCATCAGCCGGATTTTGCTGAAAAAATTTAAAATTTCAAAAAGTGTTACCTAATGATAACTGGTGCAAGCGTAACACCAAAAATTCACGCTGTCTTCTACCACATCAAGGATTTAATCAGTCACAAAGAATCCCCATTGGGGCCCTATAGTGAACATACTTTTGAAATTTCTCATCAAGATTTTTATCAACATTGGTTGATGTGTAAGCAAAATAATAATCATCTAGAGTACAAAGAAAGATTGTTGCGCTTCATAATTGATGTAAACAGTAAGCATCTTTAAAGAACATTATTTGAGTTATTAGAAATATGGATGCTGAAATTCATATTTTACGGGGTATAATGAATATTTTTACCATCTTTAAAAGTAGTATTATAGAGTATTTGTATTAAAAGAGTACATTAAGCTATTTATTAATAATCTTTTGGTAAAGAAAATTAAAAAAAACATTTCTTAAAATGTAGTTAGATATTTGATGATAACACAATGTAAAAAGTAGGTTTTAAATAGTTTTCACTTCATTTTAAAAATAAATGTATTTAAGGAGATCAATACAAAATATTTTAGGAGATCTACTTTTTTTTTTTGTTTTACTAACTGGTAGTCTTTTGATTAGGTTTTGCTCTTTTTTAGCTTTTTTTTTTGGCAGCAGTTTATACCTTAGGAAATGTTGGTATATTCACGCTATGCATACATGGCTGTCAAGGGAGTCATGGCCTGCCCACTTTTTTTGTGAGGACCTTTTTGTTTTAGAAATATAGGCAATTATTTTAGAAATTATGGATTTTATTTTAGATATTGAGGGGTTGACCCCTCCAGTTTGAAGGCCTTGTCAATACTATTAGCATAAGACTATTTAAATCACGCTTTAAGTAGAAAATCACTATTTTGGTCTATAAAATGAAAACTGTACATGAACTGATAAAATAATTATAACAAAAATTGTTGGCATTACATAGTAGAACACTCATGTAACCGTTATTTTAAAAATAGTAACCGAATTTCAAAGTAATCGGTAATGCTTTGAGGTATAAGTAGCAAAAAACTGACAAAACTTTAACTGACAAAAAACTGCAATAAATCCTACACCAGTCATCCAATCAGGCTGAAATTTTGTCCAGAGTTTGGTGTGACTATTGGCTACATTAGCACCAATTTTTATCAAATTATATTGAGTGGTTCAAATTCTACAAGTATTTTTATTGGCGCACTTTGAAGTCAAAATTTGACTTAATTTGAACATTCAAATTAATTCATTTTCCACGAACAAAATTAAATGATTTCAAAATTTGCATCACCGGGTACCTTGATTTGTATGCTAACTTTCCGTATAAGTGGCACTCTTGGAACAGCTAGGTAGGCATTAATAAAACTCTAACAGTTGTTAGAGTTTTATTATCAGTAAAATATTTTGAGTTAGTTAAAGAGGTATTTCCCATATTTTATTTTTCATTTGCTTTTGGTACCCTAGTGTACTATCTTACAGACAACTTATAAGTCTTTTAGGATTGCATTATTCTTATGCTATCTTATAGGATATCTTTCAGGATTCGTAAGATTTTATTTGTCTTTCAAATCCTAAAGGATCATAAATCCTGTG